GAAAAAACCTTGGACTAATTTTTTTACGGAAAGCAAAGATAGGGTGGATTTTGAATAGCAATGGAAGAATCGGAAATTAGTTTTTCTACATTAGAATCTGGTACCAGAAATTGAAGAAATTAAGGACTCAGACTCTACTTGTGGTTATTTCAAATTGGATATAGCTGCATTTTACCAAAAGATGATTATATGCTCAAACTGCTAATGTAATTATTATTATTTTTATTCTGCTGACACTTCGCCTTTACTTTTGCTTGCATCTGGGTGAAAATGAAAGCAAATCTGCACAGTTTATTCACGCAAGGTTAACCCGCGCCATTTAAAACGATAAAACACTGACAACACAGGTAAGACGCGAGCAAACAGTAGTCGCTACAGTGCTTTTTGGTGGGCCGAAGTTTACTAATTACTTCGTAACGAGAAGCACCATGCAACGCCGTTTTGAACTAACCCTTTCGGCTGTGAATTTTTCAAAGCTGCAAACATTCTGAAGCGATAAATTAAATGCACACAAGCACTTATATCACATAGACTTTGGACTCGCTTTTTCAAATACTAACGGGACTTTATCCACTTCCCATCCCTTCTTCGTCCTCCAGGTTTCAAGTGAGTCACGCGATTTTGAGCCACCATCTACTCACAGCACGACTTTGAATAAACCGAAATTGGGGCTATATATTGCAACTGATTATACTCAGGAATGTGAAACCTTGAGCCTACTTTCCATTGCACTTGGACAGAAACATTTATTTGGAGCTGTTAATTCAAAGCTGCAATCTAAAATCCAAAAGAACTTATGTAATGGAGTCTTTACAACTTATTTTATTTCATTGCATGAAATGGGAAGATTGGTCTGCCATCTTTAAAAAGGCACATAGTGTTCACCTGTTCACATGTTCATGGCCTTTCATAAGTAAATAAAATGTAAAGTAATAACTAAGTTGCCAGAAAGAAAATGAGAAGAAGAAGGACAAAAATTTTGAGTCTTCCCAAAGTATAAACGAGATTTGTGTTAAGATCCCAATGCAGTCTTGAGAATTCCAGGTTACAAGTCTTGAAAGCATGATTACTTTTGGATTTAATCAGTTCTAATCGGACAATCTGACTCTAAGGCAAGGTACCGTAATTAAAGAAGTAATGCCTTTTGCGAAGTCAATGCTGTCCCCTATAATGCTACTTTGCGTCGTCCATGATACTCAGAGAATTACAAAATAAAACGATTAAATACGATTTTCCTTACTTAAGTTAACCTCTTTTGTCCTCATTGACCCCTAAGTTCATATCCTGGATAAGCGAAATTTAAAGGAGTCATATTCGCTTAATTTCATGTATTGTTGCGTGCGCAAGTAGCTTACTTCATAAAACATGCGTGCGAATGATGGCTGTTCCCTTCACGCGTAAAATGTACACCCGGGTCTGTCAATAAAGTTGGCTTTCAAGTGTCTTCTCAAGTAGGGGGTTGAACATTTCCCGCTTTATTGGACTGATGAAGCACGTACATAATTTTAAAGGTACTAAATTTGGCCTGGTATCATCCTGCTAACTTTGTCTGATGTCGTTCCCAACAAGGTAAAATATAGTTTCTACGGTGACAATTTTCTTTGTCAAATCCGCAAAGCCTTTTGCCTGCTAAAATTATGCTGTAATAGGGCTCTTTTCCAAGTTTTGAATAACTAAAATTTGAGACAAAGCATGGGATTACGTGCAAATTACACCTTGTGGGACAAAGGCGAACAGCATAATCGAGAAACCGCGTTGCTCATTAAGAGCGTCGTTCAAGGTACAAACAGTTCTAAAAATTGGCTAGCATGTTCCGCCGATTCTTCTTAACACGCACGCCAACTCTTAACAAATTAAGATGACTTTGCAGTTGAGCGCAGGACTACTGAAATGGGTATGGAGTTTTGTTCCATCAAGATAATTTTCTAAAATATTTGCACAATTTAAATTAACGATTCATTCAATCTCCTTTTAAAATTAATATTCAGATATTTGAAACTTACAGGGTGACCTCTTGTGTCCTTAAAAATAGTCTGGTTTAATAAATTAAATCATTCAACCAAATCATTCACTTCAACAACAGTGATAAAAGTCGCATTCCAATGGCACTCAAACCGACAAGATAAAACCACTAACATCTTCACAGTACCTACCGAAGCCAAGGACAGTCAGAACAAACACAACTGGGTAACGTGTTTAGTGTAGGACCACAAATTGAATATTCATAATTTCCTGGAAGTTCCTCACCTGTTTTTGAACGTTAGCCCCATTTCCAAAGTGCATAACTTTCTATCAAGTATTTCTTAGTTGAGAGATTCGTTACAATAGGAACATGGTTTCGGTCATAGGCTTGTACTAAACTCTGGAGCTAACCAAATCATATTCAGAATTGACTTGTTTAATCATTTTGGAAGAGTCAGTGCAGTTTTAAGAGCAGTTTTGGTGAAACAGTGCTTATTATTAATGTCTCGATGGGAAATTTAATGATGCAGACATCAGATTAAAAATTTGGCGTGGGTTCCGGCTGTAATGGATTTGTGGGTTTTTAGTTCCTGTGTCCCTTGTCTATGTAATTTTAGCTAAATCAAACAAATTACAACCAACACATGGCAATTGACCAAAAAGACAGCTCAATAATTTTCTAGTTACCTTTGCAATGTCATTTATATTTAAGTATTTACATTCTAACAGAACAAAAAAGTTCTGAGATTGGTAAGTGAAGAGCAAGATACTTGAACGGCTTCAAAAATACGTTTTTTTGGTTAAGGCTAATGCAAGAGTAGCCTAGTAAAAACTAACTGCGCTTATCATCCTGTAAAGGTGAATTTGTGCCATTCTGCCATCTCGCTCTACAAAAACCGCCTTAAAAGCTGAAAAAAGGGGGCAAACAAAGCACAGTTGCCGTGAGCGATCAACACGGACTTGAATATGTAAAAAGTACATTTGTGCTATGCGAGTGCTGTAAAGGTGAATTTAAAAAAAGGAGCGCTTGTTTAACAACTCTTAATGCGCATGAGGCTATTTATGATATGTATACTAAAAAAAACTAGGAACAGTTTGCACTTGCTTCGAAAATTGAATAGAAATATCTAACACACTGACATGTATTTAAATTTCATCGCACTTCTGTTCTCAAACTGTTTCGTTTAAATCTACTTTTGACATCTCCCCTACCGGATTTTCGAAAACGATTTTACAATTGCTGAAACTTCGAGATAAGATAAAGGGTGTATTGGGGAGTGAAATGAATTTGCCGCTTTACATTTGGACACTTCTGTTATGAACAAGTCCGCACGAACAACCGCACAAAGACATTCAAACGTACTTACGTTATTTGAAATATCTGACTGAGTCTCATGATTAGCGACGTATTTTAGGGTTATTGTCTTTAATTATCTTATGAGTTTAATTAGTGTTGCATATTAAATCTGGTTAAATTTGATCTGCTCCGCTGCTTCACAGTCTGTTCATTCTAATTTTACACCGATTAGAGATGTGCCATGGGTTGATTAAATTTACTGAGTGCTGGTCAAATGCACACGTGAATGACGTAGTTCGCCTAGACAAGTGCTTAACTCCATAACTCTGGTTTTTCTCGAAGGAGCCTACCGTTTTCGAAGTCTATTCTTCAGAACTGTAATCTTAAATAACAACGCTTAAGTTGTAGTTGAATGATCAGTTGACATAGAAGGAAAACCCTATTATGCATGATAAAAACGCTTTTCCAGAGTGTTTAAGGGGAATTAGAACAAGCGCACACGCACGCTCCTAAATGACACTTAAAATAACAAAATATCCGACGATCCGTTTCAATGATGATATAAGTGTATCGTTTTCGGTTGAAAACGCACATTGTTTAAATGAGGCAAATTAAAAAACAAGTGTTAATGTACAACGCGCATACACTAACAGTGCTGTCTGAGTTGGACGGTAATAAAATGTATCATTTTTGCGCAAAGACAAATAGGTGACGGCAGCACAACCACATTTCTATCCCTTTGCAGTTTTTGTAACACTAAAGACGGGATGTAGTCGCGGCTTCTTTGAAATAGCCGCATTTCACCGCCTTATTCGGCGTCTGAAGAAATAAGTCGTTGTGTAAAGGCTGGCACATATGAGCGATTCCAAAGAAGAAGTTTAAATAGCGATTTAAGCCATTTGAGCCAAGGATGTATTTCCTCTATTAGGAGACAGGATCGATATTTTATGGAAAAGAACAAAATTAATTTCTGAAGGAATCCAACTTTAAACTTTGACACGGTTAGACATGGTAGAACCCATACCTAATGGAACCAACTTGTTTAAAAAGAAATCAGAAGCCTAAAACTAGGAAATTGGTCCAATCGAAGTGAAGCGCTTTCTGAAAACCAAAATCTGCCTTACAAAAATGCAATCGTGTCAGTTGGGAAAGAGGAAATTAACTTTAACGGCTCAGTTTAACTTTTAGTTTCACAACCAACGTAGGCAGATAAAAAAATCTATAATATGCTTTGTGCATAAATATAGTATAAATAGGTCAGAGACCACACACGCGTGTCTTTTAAAGCAAATGTTATCATGTAGCAAATTCAAAGATAATTAGAGGCCTGTTCGGAGACAGAAGCGGATTTGCAAAATACTTAAAAAGTCCGGGGTGGGCAAAAGGTGTGGCAGTAAAGCTATCACAGGATCTGTAAGCATTTCCTGCTTTATGTTTAATCGTTGTTATTTTCAAACGCGCAAACCATAAAACTCGGAAAATTATCTACAAGACATGAATCCGTTATAAATCCAAAGGACACATTTGGAACTGTACACTATTCCCTTGAGTAATTTTGCGAATACTATAATTAAAACTGTTTGAACAACGCTTAGCAAAAAATGGAATGAATATGATTAAGTTGCACACTGGTCTGTTTCTCTCATCGACACTAATATATATCTCATCATACTGGAACAATTAATCAAAATTAGGTTCATCCGTGAGGTCGCAACAAATGACTGTGAACTAGTGTAACAAATTATCTATTAGAAGTAACGTGACAGCCGAATGGGCATATGAAGATTGAATGAATACTGAAAAGTCTATAACTCACTTCAGCTATTCTCTGCCCGACTGCCACATCCACTGAGATATTGATGACACGTTCGTTGGGTTTTGGAAAGTGCCATACTGGTGAATTATCATTGATGTCCTGTAGTCTGATGATGATTTGCGCTGACCCTGTTAGTGGTGGTTGACCGTGGTCCCGTGCAAAAACGTCCAGCACGACTATGTCCTCTTTTTCCCTGTCCAAAGGCCTCCAGTCATGCATCTTCCCATCATTTGCACCTTTTGAACCCAAGTACAGCTCTCCTGTACGTGATACTGTAAACCAACGGCCAGCAGAGTTTGAATTAGAGGTTTGTTGCTGGAGCCAGTAATGCAGACGTCTATTGGTTTCGTCGGCGTCACAGTCATTAGCATGGACCTTCCCTATCAACATAGGTGGAGTTGCTCCTTCGCTAATATTAAGCTGGTATACGGGTTTTCCAAACACAGGCTGGCAATCATTCACATCTGAGATAGTGACTTGCACAGTGGTGAAGGCACTGTTCCGTCTGGTGGTAGAATTGAATCCATCTCCACCGTCTGTAACTTTGACAGTGACATTGAAAAACGACACAACTTCACGGTCGAATACTACGGCAGAACGCAGCTCACCAGAGCGTGCGTCTAAGGTGAACCAAGCATGTGTGGGTTGAGTAGTTACACTGAAAGTGAAATTAAGTGACCTTGTTTGGGGAGTAAAGGTGATGTCTGGTTCTCCTACCAGAGCGTAACGCAATCCAGCCTGTCCGTTAAGTGTGTAGGGGTCGTCTGCATCATTAGCAGTGATCTGAGTAATTAGGGTGCCAACTGGCTGGCCCTCCGCAATGTTGCCAGTTAGAGGTCCGACAAATTGCGGCACTGAATCATTTTCGTCCAGCACAACAAGGGTGAATATCACACTTGAAGAGCGGGCAAATGAGTTCCTGAAACCAACCATGTTGCTCTGAGCATGAATTTGGTTGCCAAAGCGGCTTGCTTGATCCCAACATTCAATCCGGACCAGATACTTGGCTGATATCTCCCTATCTAATGATTTATTTGCCAAACGCAGCTGAAACCTCGCCTTGTGAGATCTAGTATCAAGTGTAAGTAGCTCAATCTGTAGTAATTTGTTGTTTAGCTTGCACCGTGGTGGTTGCTTAATACGTTCAATAGCCTCTTGCAGAGTGAGACCATTTGCCTGCAAAAATGCATCACGAAGTGGAGTATTTGCCTGTAGAAACCTTTCTTCAGCTGCATCATCATTGTCTGTCACCGTAAATGTTGCAATCAATTGGTTCGGAGGCCCGTTCTCAACTACTTCTATTGTGATTTGAGATCCTGAAACGCGGTGTTGTGTGTCGAACAAATGAAATCTAGAGGAAGTGGCAAGATGTGAATGCATAATGATGCTTGGAGGATGGTCGTTAACATTTAGGACACCTACAGTGATCACCGCGTCATCAAACCAAAGTCCATCAGTTACTGTCACTGCAAGTTTGTATGAGGTTTTCCTCTCGTAGTCCAGTTCACCCTGCACTCGTATCTCCCCTGTTCGCTTATCAACCACAAAAAAGTTAGCAATTTGTGGTGGTACGGAGGAAGAAAGAGAAAACTCCAATTTATCAAAGTCCGATTCATCTTGATCCGTTGCTCGCAACCTGTAAATAACACTCCCTATTGGACTATGCTCAAGCACCCAGACAAGATCCTCCTTTTTCTCAAATACTGGCGCGTGATTGTTGACATCCTCAACTGTTATATTGAGCATTAAAAAACCTGTTTGAGGCTTTTCAACTCCACCATCGATTGCAAATATCTTTACCTGGTACGATTTCTGTTCGTCGCGATTGAGTTCTTTATTGAGAATAAGCCACAATTTATCCTGACTGGGAGAGTTGCTCATAAACGCAGATACACGTCTTGATTTACCTGTCCACTCTAGTGAAAAAAGACCATTCACTTCCGAATCTATGCCATAGGCAACTGTTGTATTCTCTGGAAAAGCATCGGGGTCCACAGCTTGCGGAAGCTCAATCTTTGTCCCTGACTTTGTATGCTCCCGTATCGGCAGATTTAGTACGGGAATGCCTGCCTTGTAATGACGTCGCTCTGTTGGTTGATGCGTAAGCGAATTTGAGCTGCCATGAAAATGCCATGTCGGCGCGTGGTCATTTATATCTAGTACACGGATTGAAATGGACAGAAGGCGTTGTTGCCTTGTGCCATCATAGAGGTTCATAAAGTCAGCCACCAAAATAAGTGAAATGGAGCAATCATCAGGTCTTGTATCAACAATGGGGGACGATAGGGAATCAAATGATTTTGATTGTTGTTGCAGTCTTGGACAACAGATGCCCTCATTGGGACACAATGCCTCCCTATCGATTCGCTTCTTGAGGCAAAGGAATGAGGAGTTGTGTGCTTCATCAGAACAAATTCGAAAGTAAGCATTTAGCTCAAGAAGAGTAAACTGAATAGGACGAAGATCCGACCATTGAATACCTGCACGCTCTAGCGCTTGCCTTGTAACAAAATTCAAATTTTCGCCAACGACATCTACATTCTGCTCCTCCACAACCGAGAAATCGGCGTGCAATGTATCAAGTGAGGATCGTTTTCGAAGGCGAGCTCTAACAATGTCGCTGATGAGTATTAAGGCAATGATTATAAGTCGACAGGATGGAAGACGACTCATAGTTGCGCAGTGGTCAGGTTAGCACATCTTGTATTGGGGAAAAACAGGTGGAAGTTAGGGTAAAAGAGGCACCACGTTTTGAAAGCATTCTGGTACATTGATACTGCCAGCTAATTGGCTCAGAATCTGACCAATAGACTTCGTCCTCTAATAAATCGGACGCAGCGCGATGACGTGTGCATGACTTACCTGCATGTAGCACTTCTCTTGATGCTTCATATAGCCAGTAGGATTGGTGTTAAACGGTTACCCGGTTTTGTAAAATTATATCGCGATTTTCCGATTGTTTTTGTTTTGGCGAAATCTAATTCAAATTAAGGTCAGGACTTTGAATGTAGGAATATAGACTCGGAGGTTTTAGAGGGCTCACTTAAGAGGCTATAAAGTTGGTAATAAAAGTTTGATTTCCTGTGGAAAGCAACCTTGAGCACACCATATCTCGATTTTATTGTTGACTCTATTTTCCAAGCAATTTATTGTTCGAGTCATATTCCACATTAACAATTAAGGTTTTCAGTGTTTTAAGTTGTGTGCACTATGTACAGTTCATTATTTAATTTTCGTTCACAGTCCATTACTTGGTATTGTTCATGATTCTCTATCCACATTCATTGTAATTTGATGTGTTATGGAGTAAAATTTGACAAAACTTGAAACAAAGTGTCACAAATCTTCGAGATTTCATTTAGAGTTGAAAAATCTACGCTTTGGTTACATTAAACATCAATAAGTAAAACGCTCCTTTTTAAGAAGGCTGCTACAGCCTCTGTAACCGTATGCTTTAGATCATACGTAGCTTACAACCTAAAATCCCTACTAAAACCCAGAGTTCTTGAATGTTTAAGGTATCAATAAAAAATACCACCAAGTTACCAAAAACGCAACTTCGTTGTCTGCCTCTGGAGTCGAATAAGATCACATTGACTGTCGTCAACAGGGACTGTCATATATTGATGTTTGTCCCCGCCTGATCCAAAATCACCTCATGACCTGTACTTCACTGGCTGAAGTCTAAACCAAATGGCTGTTTTTTTCAACAGATTACTAAATGACTGCCCTTAGTAGTAAGCGACACCTTAGATGATGGTCATTAGCATTATATTGCAGGAAAACCTTGTGATTATGTAGAAATAGGCGATTCCAATGATTGTTGCACTCCGTTAACTCGTTACGTATTGTTGTTGTACATCCAAAGGTAACTCGAGTTTAGTGAGCGACTAGTATTAGTCAAAAAGTAAGTGTCGCTAAGTGATTATGTAATCCAAAGTTAGAAATGGACGGCAATAATCAGAGTTAAATTAAGCAAATCTGAATAAACATGTTATTGATAAGAAATGACCGTCAATAAACCATACTTCTAACCAACTTTGTTATGACCTCTACATTAGCTTCTGAACCTCATTGTGCAATAATGCTACACTTATGGTTTTTACTAAATATTGTTTTCTTGCATGTTGGACCACTCATATTTCTCCGCTGGGAATTTATTAGAATCGAACAGAACGTTTTAAAATGTCATTAACTGAAGCGATTTGCCTCTACTCTCCTATTTCAGTGTCGCTCTTTTTGAATGCCAAAGTTTGGCAAAACGAGCGCATTATAGGGCTTTGTTGCAGCTAAGTACGCCTTGTCACTATTTGTCATCCTTTCGACGTATTCGTAAGATACCGTCCTGTAGAGTTTGGCATGTACATATGTGTGTATCTTGGTTAAGTACAACCTAAGCCTGGTTCTGCGATAGGTGTTACGCTAAGATAAGTGATTTATATTCAATAAGTGCAAACAATTTATATGCGGAAATGCCTTCGATCTTTCATATTGCCTGCCGTAATCCTTTTTGATTGGGAGAAAGTAAAATCTTGGTGATATGACATATTCATTATGTTCGAATAAGGAGGTACGATTTTACTAAGCAAAGGTGTAACGAAGAATACCACTGTTCATCTTGAAAGGTAAACAAACTATAGGACTTCGACAAACTAGTTTTTGAAATGGCGTAAGCGATACGGGCTATTAAGATAACATTCCATGATTTTAGTTTATAGTGCTGTAGTTAATTGTCATCGAAATAAATGGAAGCGCTACTTTCTGCTAATATATTATGATTTGTGGCCTTAAACATTGCGCTGAAGTCTCGATTCATGGGCAAACCAAGTTTGTGATTCAACATCGGGAATTGTTCAACCTAAACTTGGTAGCTCTTGGCAGTTTGCTAAAGGCTTAAAAAATTAAGTTATTTCACTAAAAGTCACATTGTTCGTTTCTACACTCACTTGGAAATCAACCTCTTACTAACGATACGGGTCAGAGCTCAACCAAGACATGTTATTCATTTTGATATAACAAATACAGGATTTGAAAAGTCATGCAAATAAAATAGATGAACGCAAGCTTTCGAATTCTCGATAATGTTATTTTTCGACACAAATATATCAATTTTAGGTGGTGTTTAACTCCAAAACTCGTATTGAAGCAATCAAAGGAATGTTTCATGCAGACAGGGGATTTAACTACATATCGTAGTTGAATCTGTAGATTTAGGGAATGATTTAAGTAATGAGAGTAAATAACATGCCTGAAGAAGTGTTAAATTTTTTTTCAATTTTCATTGATAAAAATTTTTGATTCTGCACTCGACAACGCGGTGCCGAAATCCCCGATGGACGTGTTCGCATACAAAAACTTTCATGCATTATTACTAGCGAAGCCACTGATATTTTCATCACAAAACTTTCATCGACAAAAGTATGCTGCCTAAACCCATGTAGAACATTTTCAGAGACGTTTTTGTAAACTCCCACATATCCTACCACTACGAGGGGTGTCACATTGTCACTGGGGTATCGCAAAACAGCTAAGATTTAGGCATGCATAATAGAAGTGTTTCTGCTCAAAGCCCAAAACACCTGGAATTAAACGCATTAAAATGGCAACCAAAGCGGCATATGATTGCAGAAAAAATAAGTGATTATTAAGCATAAAACGATTTTCCAAGCAAAACTTTGAAAATTTACATGCATTATCTGTGTCTAGTGAAGAATTAGGCGTTAAATGATCTACCCGATTTCAGTTTAAATACGATTTCTATTTTGATAAATGATATCTCCAATACAGAACAACACCATTACCAACATGCATCTATTTTTGCAGTCCGGTGCAAGGGTAATATTCATTTAGTCGATTTTAATTTTTTCCTTTTCGAAAGCTAATAATGTCGCAGTTTAATAATTTCTAGGTTGTGAATTTAAAAATATCAACCCAGTTTCTTTTCAGTTTCTTTTATTGTTTTCAGCTGAAGGCCAGCCAAATAATTCCGTATTCCTCGACACAAATGGCGGAAACTTCAAGGTCAGGGTAATGTGCTGCTCTAAGGCGCCACAAAAGCAGTGATCTACAATGAGCCAATATACATGTTCTTTAAAGGCGATTCCTGCCTGACACATTTTTTAATCACAGAAACTTTTCAATCTTTTTCAAGAGATGTCCAATTGTTTTAAACTCGTGTGTCAAACTGAAACCTTGCCTGTATAAGGGAATGCACCACATCCTACTTCATTATCATAACTAGCACTAATGATTCGTATATTACAGCTTCCATTAAATGAGCGCGTTTATTAATCCAATGGTGAAATGGTTCGCATTTTTTCTTTACAATTGACCAAACACAAATGTAAATATTACAAAATATTGCAAAGAAGATGTAGATATCCCGAAAACAATTAGGATACAATAGTTAATGTGACATGCGAAAGTATAAAAAGGGGCTAGGCTTTACTGATTTCTATCAAAACCATCTTAAATAAACAGGAGACATTACATTTGCACTAAAAAGATATTATCTAATGTTGTTACATTTCATATTTTTGCTGATTTTATGAAATAATTAAATTAGTCTCTTAAAGACAAGTCCGTCCTGAATATAGCATTTTTGACCCATCAATAAATATGTATTCATTCTAAACATTTTAAGGCTCAGTTTACATGTGTTTAGCGAAGATAAAGAACACAAAGTGTGTTTTAAACGAGAAAATATTGAGGAGGTCTGCTTGAATTTGCATGGTGCATTAAACCTGTCATGATAACAGAATCCTGATCTTTTACCCTCAATACCTTATCGAATTCCTCATGAAAGTCATTTATTTCATCGATGAAGGTTATGTTAGAAAACTGGTCCTGTACCATTGGATATCGTCAACAGACATGAATGTACAGCAGAGCCAGACAGTTTCTTGTAACTGGACCAGCGGATTTACTTTCCTTGGTAGCCGAAAAGTACATACCATCGTTGGTTGAATCGAACAACGGAGCTAACAACTAAATACACATCACCCATAATGGTGTCAACAAATGCTATTTTATCACTATACATCGGTTTTTGTAATTTTACTTATCATTTCAATTCCAGCCAATAGGCCATTTTAAGCTGTGGCTTTGACTATGATGGCTAAGCAGTTTGTTTTGTGTTATTTGCTGCGTCTCTAATCAAATAGGAGCTTTGTAAAGAGAGGATTCTTAGTAAAATGTAAATACCAATGACTTATTCAGGCAAAAGATTTAAGCCTGAACATTCCCTAAAAAGTTTCATTTGTCGTTCGGGAAAGTGGAAAGACTGAAAGCATATTTTGAGGCGTTGCGAAAAAGCCGGGTGTCTTGATTTTGAAGCATTTTGGACGTCGGCAAACAAGAAAGCGAGTTCCTAGCAGGCAGTATCATTTTTTTCAAATACTTTTATCCAAAATGGATCAAGCTGACAAAATTTTGGAACTTATTCAGCCTAACTAAAAATGCGACTCAATTATCATGAATCTAACCTCCGTGAAAACTAACTTCATTTTTAGATAATGCAACCTTTCATTCTCGTCCGCTACAATTCACACATGTACGGCTCATTTCACTAGGAGATACGGGTTATATGGGGCAGGACGTGCAGTGAAAAATTCCCATGAACACTGTTCTCAAAAGGCCTGCTTCACATGCAAGAATTTCTGCAGCAGATGGTA